ATAATTATAAGATTTAATTATATCCTATTCCATATTACTTACTGTAAATAACCTATAAGATTTTAATTAACATAGTTTGATGTTGCATTTTGATGTGGCTTATAAATTTGTAGGAAGTGCGTGGTGCTATCTCTCGGCAAAGGATTTAAATATTTTTGAAAAGGCATGATGTACTGTTGCCTTACTCTGGATGAAAAGAAAAATTTCTTTAAAAAAAATTTAAACTAGGTATTTTCTTATAATAAGCCATTTAATTAAAATGCAATCATTGGAAGGCTTTTAGGAATATAATGATTAGCCTCGTTTTCAAATTTTTCATACGAATGTTTTGTCTAAAAACCTAAAAATTTCCCCGTACACTGTAGGAGGTTTCTGTTTAGTGTGCTAAGGCATAGTGATCATTTCTGACACTTGTAAAGTACGTTTCGAAAAAACGTGTCTTTATCACTATATTGACCCAAGCTTTTTAATATAACAGAAATATATATATATATATATATATATATATATATACTTGTAAACAACCGTTTGTTATTGAGTATAAAAAGATATAAAATATTAAGAGATATGTTACTTCTGTTCGGCGTTTTTACTCTGTGAGGCTAACACTAATTGCTAAATGAGAAATAACTTTTATTTAGCTTTAAATTAATTTTTTTTTAGTCATCTTGGAGTTTTCATCAGTTCAGTTTTTCATTTCACTTTTTGTTTTACATGTCAGTGATAAAAATGTTTTAATGACCGATTTCCTTGTTCAGACATCAAAGGCTGTGTAGACAAGACTGAAAAATAAGGCTTTTATCCGACATATAGGGTAAACCAATCAGTGAATGAACACTACCCAATGAAGGAACATTTCATATATATTGATTAAAAATAAGAATTTGTAAGTTTTTCTTTAGATTGATTGGTAACAATGGCTTACTGCCAAACAATAGGAAGTCATCTAGCAATGTTTTGGATTACCTGGTCACATAGACTTCTGTGGAAAATTTTTCAAATTTGCTATTATCTCTGCAACACCTTGCTTCTTTGCAAAAATTATAAGGTGAGTGTTTGTATTTATATCTTTGAAGTGGAATTAATTGCAAACAATAGTTTTATTTTTCTCGCTGTGAAAATAAGAATTCAATATATAGTTATTGAAGTTACGTTTTATTTTTTTAAGCATCATAGCATAATCAAGTACAGAGATAAGGGGGCGTTTATTCACTGGATCGTCAAACGATGAGCGATTTTTCTAAGTTAATGAAAATGAAAGAAAAACTTTAATTTTCTTGTAACGTTAGTGATGTTTTGCATCAAAAGTATGTTAAAAATACAAAAAACAACTTCTAACCATTGAAGGAACAGGCATGTTCCTTTAATGGGCATAGATTTCCTAGTGAATGAACAGTATGTGTTAATATGTTGACACTTTACTTTTCAATTCATGATTACAAAAATTTTTTTAGCATTTTCCAAGTATTTGTATGTTATAATTTCAAGAATAGGCTTGCTTTTAGATATTTATATGCCATATAAATTAATAAAGAGCATTAAAAAATAACCAAAATTAAGTGTTCCTTCACTGGGAAATTTTGTGTCCCTTCACTGGTAAGAGCTATTCCTTCACTTTGTCTTCTTACTACTTGTTATTTGAACTTCCAAAACTTTAAAATAATATTATGTAAGTTCTCTAATATTTTTTTACATAATTTGCAATTAATAGCAAATATGTTGACACTGTCATTTAACTAAAATTACGAATTTTGAAATTAATATGATTTTTTTAAAGGCAAGCGATGCTTGAGTGTTCCTTCACTGGTTAGCTTACCCTATATCGAACTCTAAATAATCCTATGTATCCGGAGCACAGGTGGGCTTGGATTAAAATTCTTTGGGCTCAGGTGGGTTCGGACCTCCAAAAGGGAGATCGAACTTTACTCTAATGAGAAACCTTTTCCCCCTCTTCCCTCCTTACGCGCTGCTTTTTTTTTCTATCCGCTGTTTTTTTCTGCTGTGATATTTGAAACGAAGAATTTTAAAATTGGTCAGCATAAGGACGTCCAATACAGCACAATTCATCCAGAAGACGTTCAGAATTCCGTCCGCATGATCCATTAGACGTCCTGAATCAAACATCAGCGTCTACGAGACGTTTTCCTACAGCTTATTTATAGATAATCCGCAGTGGCTCAAGTACAGACTGCTTATAAATAACTATGGTAATTTAATATCGCTTCTTCTGCCAGGGGGAGTAAGGGATTATTTGGTAGCAGTTCCCACCGAGAAAATGTTAAACTCGCTTGAAATAGACATTTTTTTTAGAATTCAGACATCAAAAAATTATATATATACTAGCTGACCCGGCAAACGCTGTTTTGCCATATGAATTATTTCTAGAGTATGAAAATATATCTCATTTATTGTAAGTGTGCGCGCACGTGGTATATGAGTGGAAGAGGCATGGAGCGCTGAGAACGATGGCGGAATGTGAAAATAACAACACACCAAATAATGGTTTTTTTAATTTATTGTAACTCTTTTTAATAAATTGTATATACAACGAATTCTGAAGATATTAGTCAACAATATTAATCTCTTAGTGCAACGGAGTGTACGATATTTTTTGTCATTCCATCTTCAGCTAACACAAATAAACTGGATGGTTTGTCCACTCGAGAGCATGCCACGTATGCCGTATGAAATGTATGAGCCGTATATGCCGTATGAGCATGTCCGTATGAAAAACATGGCGTGCTCAAATCTAAGATACAAACAGACATTGTTTGGCCTTGTCATTGCAAATGCTAATATAATGGGGCACTAAATGCGTTTAAATTGAATTGGCGCATCTGTGGGTATAATAGGGATTCCTGGAAGTAATATATTTTCACCCCGGAATTTGTCATTTAAAGTAATGAGTTTAATAACGCTGTTCATTAATTTTTTAACGACTAATCGCGTGCCGTTGCACAGCCGTGATGGGTTCAAATTTCGAAGCAAAATAACCGGAGATCCAACTTTGAGTACTAAATTATGCGGTGGTATGCCTGGTAAATCCAATGAGTTTAAAAACTCTGTTGTAAAATTTGCAGTTTCAAAGTGATCACAAAATGTATCAACGGATTTATATGTCACCAAGTTACCTGGCAATTACTGTTGCATCTTCAGATTCAATTCGTTGACGTTCACATTTTTTGCTGCTAAAATCACCCTTTCTGCCAGCTACTCATGATGAATGTATTGCGGGCGTGCGTCGCGAAATATTAAGTTAATGAGAGCATCTTGGGAATCAATGATTGTGCAGAAATCGTCCGGTAATTTCATGCATCTAGTCTCATTCTTAGTAACTTTTCCATCACCGATATCTAACAATTGTTTTGAGAATGTTTCAGCAGATGGATCTCGAAGCATTTGGACGCGCATAGTTACTTTTAGTTGAACTTTTTCAACATTACGCCACAGTGGAGATGATTTCAAGCAAGCATTGATCTCATTAGCATACGTTGAAAGCGGAATGACGCGAAGTGTTTGTTTTTTATATCTTTGAATGTCCTGTTCAACGCATCAAGCGAATGTTTGTGTGCCATAGTGCATTTTTACAGTACATAATGCATTTTTACATAATTTTACAGTGTTTCAACACTATGGCCATAGACGATTACTTTTTAATGCTGCACACTGCGTCTTGGTTGTTTAATGGCAGCTTAATATTTAATGGCAGCTTAAATACTGAATGAGCTGTTCTCCCTCCATCCAATAAAATAGCCGCAATGCCAGATGATGCAACGGCCAACGCGATGCCATTATTTGATTGTATTTCAGCGAGAATCAGCGGAATAATAAATGTTTTCCAATTCCACCTGGTGCATCCAAAGAAAAATCCACCTTGTCCTGACGAAACTGCGAGCATAATGCTGTCATAAATGTTCCTTTGTTCCTCATTCATTAGTGGAACATTGCAAGCAACAATCACTGCCATTTCTATCGTATTGTATTGAAATTCATGATTCATGTCAGTGGTTAATAAATCAGATGCACTTCGATTTGGCGAAGGCATATCGAAATGACTGAGGGGCAAGTTGGCAATACTAAGGCAAAGATCCTCAATAGCAATCAGTGCTTCATTGTACATAGCATCTCTGAATGCAATAGTTAGATCGTTGCAACTTGTGTGATGTTGATACCGTATATCATCAGTCATCGAATCTTTGTGATTATCCCATAACGTTTCTATACGGGCCGGGAAGCATGTAGTTAATACTATAGCAAATAGTAGACGAATTTGCTTTGCAGCACAGTTCAATGCTGCTTCAGCAAGCATACATTCCCACTGGTTGTCGTCTTCCAGTAAGCCGAGTTCAAGGCATGCATCTTTATAAGTTGAATGCTGATGTCCATCGACTTTACGTATATCTTAAAATGACAATAAGCCGGTGACATTAACCAACAACAGTCAAAAATAGAAGCACTCAGTCTGCCTTGAAGTGACTGTAAATACTCTCCCCAAGGCGTTTGATTTGAATAAACCGGGACATGCATCAACCGGTGTGCCTTGCTAGCGGGGTGACCATTTTTTTTGTTTGAGCCCATGTGAAATAGTGTGGTACTTCTGAGTAGAGTAATGTCCGTGCAAAGGCACCAAAAGCATCCGTACGATTACACAATTTAAAAAATTCGGTGAGTATAGTTTTTGGTGGATTTATAACTCGGTCAATCGCTGTCTCGTTCGTGAAATATACGCTCCGACCATTTTCAAGATGGACGGCTAAATGACTAACGGTTGGATCCCGTTCATGAATTGGGAATCCAAAGATACGCCGAACAGCTTCATTGGAGCTGATGTACCGGCCAATTTGGTACAGCGTTATTTCGTCGCTGTTATTCACTGGAAGATCAGTCACATTGGTATTTTCAACTCGAAGTACTGCCATATCATTGCCTTTATTCACATACTTGCAAATATATTTGATGCTCTCCTTTTAAGGGTGAGAATAAGTATAAGAGTTTGATATGACTTGTTGCAAGGTGCGTGAATATTATTTTTGATTTGTTTCCATGTCTAGTTTTGATCCGAATACGATTAAATAAAGATATATTTAAAATATACGCTAAATATGTCCAAAAAATGAAAAAAAAAATTTAAAACCTATTCTCAGACCTACTGAATATACATATAAAATTTCATCAAAATCGGTCGAGCCGTTTAGGAGGAGTTTAACCACTAAAACTGTGACAAGAGATTTTTATATATATAGATTTTTTAATTGTAAAATAAAATACTCAAGCTTTGATTGAAAAATTGTAATCTTAGAAGGGACTTTGTCCCTTCATTTATAAAATGTCTCCCCGTTTCCGTGGCCCCTAGTATTCTTCGTCTTCAGTTTGCTGAGGAAGATTGTAACGAGATACTTCGATCCAACGAGAGGTAGTATTCTCTTTTGTTTTCATACGTCAGTAGGTATAAAATTCAGTAGTTAAATACTTTTGAATTTTTAATTATTTTTAAAACAGTGTTTTAATTTGTTTTGATTTGATAGAAATTTTACAGTCCTTTCTTTGTTATCGGAATTTAACATACACTATTCTTTCAGTTTCTAATTTCTTTGGACCAATTTCAATTTAATTTCCGAATTTTGGATGTCATTTCTGGAATATAGTAACAAAAGTAGCTGATTCGATTTTTGGCCTGATAAAATACAGCTTTCCTATTCAGAAAGTGGTCATTAGAACACATCCATCGAGTTTCCTAGTCTTAATTACCTTGACAGAAAATTCATTGCTCTTCTGTTTTCGGCTACTTTTGATGTAAATATGAAATTGTTCTTTAATTCTGAAACGAATAACACATTTTTAAGATGGATAGTTCTAGATTTTCTGTCATTCAAACCAATTATCCAAATAAAATATTTGCCGATAAGTTCGGTGTTCACATCTGGTTTTACAAACCTTTTTTTCTCCTTTTTTGCTTTTATGTTTCGAAAAATGGCTTTTCATTTTCAAGCAGTCGTTGCAACTTATCCAAAATTATCTGTTATTCTCACGCCTTTTTCCATCTCCTTTTTTCTTTGATTGATTTCTTCTGTTGTTTTCAGTTTTGATTAGTTGAAGAGCAGAAATCAGCGTGCAATTCATAATTAATTTTCCTTTTCCAGCTTTGAATTCTTTTATAAATTTAATTTTGAATGCTTCAGGATTAGTGAATTCGTCTCTAGATTTGAGAGCACTTCCAAAACTTCAAAATATTTTCGAATACTTTAGAGGGGAATAATTTGATCACAAGTGATTTCGAGCTGTATTTCTTATTGACAACTATTTCTAAGAATTTGTTCCTAACAACTATTTCCATAAAATGTACTCCTGACAATTATTTCTAAGAATAAATTTAAATGATCAGACATCGGTTTCGTCATGATCATTTTTCGGGATATTAACTGTTTTAGAACTGAAATCGTTTCTCCAGTCCATTCGATTTTTAAACAACGTTTGATGAAACGTTCGTTTTACGATGAAATGCTCCATGTGACAAAGTTCTCTAGGGCTTACCAGCAAATTAAAATCTGCTCGTGCCTTTTAATCTATTTCTATCCATTTACATAGCTTCTTAATGGCGTCAGACAATGCTTCTTCAGACTATTTCGATTCTATTTCCTTAATATTTTCCTGTTGATCGTTCTTTATCAAAGAAGCTCCCATTTGCAGCTTTCATGAATCATAATGACCCTTCGTCAGCTTTGCTATTCCATTAATTTGAGGCATTTTAATTTGGTCTAGACAACAGCGTAATACTTATAAAAATCATGATGGCTGCCAGAGCAATAGTTCGAGTTCAAATCAAAATAGCATACTCACTTTCGTATCTCATTCAAAGCGTAAAATGAGCCCCAAAACCATAGTTTACTGGGAAACAGAATTACTTGTTGAAAGCAGATAATAAAGTATTTAATTTTAGCTAACATTCTCTTTGGCATTAACAAACACACACTTAATACGAGAAGATCATAAAAAGCTGCTGTAATGAAGGATAAGAAAGATTATATCATAGAAGAACGTACAGATGACGTTAAGAAGCTTGGGCATGCGCGGTAACGTGAATGAGAACCTTTAATTAGATAAAGAAAATAGAAGAAATGAACATTGAATTTCATTATTCCTTTTGCGAACGATGATACTATACTCTGTTGCAATTTAAGAAAAATCCATTATCTATTATGGAGAGAGCCTGTTTGCATTTAAGTGAATGAGTACCAAGCTTCCAGCGCGAACGAATATCAACATCGCCAATCTAATGAAACGACGTGACACAGCCTTCTTTTTGCTTCTTTTCTTAAATCGTGTGAAATGGCGAAAACAAAACTTATTAAATAATCAACTAACAATTAATAAGAATAAATAAAAATGTCTAAAAATCGAAACAAATATACGACTTTCTGTTCGCATTCAGAGAAACTGATGAAAGAATAATAAATAGTGTTTTTTGCAGACGATTTTCATCCACAGTTAAAACACAAGTAAAACTTCTTTACCTCACATTTGATTTGTTAACTGCATGTCAGCATAAGATGCTCCATTTTTACTGGTCCAATAACATCCAATGCTTTTGCAAAGTCTTATAGTTGTTTCTTATTCAAAAACGAATGTTCTCCGTATTTACCGAAATATGTCGCCATGTCTATGATTCTAAACTTCTTAATAATCCTTTGATATATATCGTAATTGATAGCACAAATTAAATTTCTGCCTGGTTTGTTTAATTTTTTTTATTACTACAATTAACATTTTTTAAGCTTCTATGCTGTTTTCAAAGCATATTCGTACAATTTGATATCGAAATAAAACGGAACTATAAGCAGTCTTGTTTGACTGCTTAAATCCTGTACCGCAATGGTCTCTTCTTAACTTCCAACGGAGTCTGGATGGCTAAATTTCTTGACTGTTTCAAATACTAACAATAACAGCTTACTATCACTGATTATGGTTGATTGATTGATTAATGAAAATTGTCTTTCGGGAGAGAATAATTTATATAAAAATATCCGGTTGCATATTTGGACTTTTAATAGTCATTTTTTAAAATTTTTAGACTATTTTAGGAATAGTTTTAAATAAATAAATGTTATAACATAACTATTATAATCATATATAACGGAAATAACAGCTATTTCTACATTAGTGTTTAAAATAAAATTAATAAATTCTTTATTTACTTAGTATTTTTGTTTCTGAACAAATTTTTTTTAGTAAATTACTTAAAATATTATTTTCATTACGTTTTCGTTCTGATAACAACATTAGTAACTCACTCCTATGTCAAAACTTTGCTATTAGATTAAAGATAAGAGCTTATGGTAATGTCTATAAAATTGCTATTAGATTTCATACGAATCTTAGACGAGCTATGTTCGCATTTGTAAGCATTGAGCTAAGATTCACTGTTAGGTCAAATGTTAAATTGAATATTGAGTCCTTTCTTATCATCACTTGAGTTAATCTTAACGCTAAATTAGACTTAAATTAATTAGACTACTAGATATATTCAACTATTTTTGGATTGAAATTTCGCATAACCTTGCAATTGGTCTTCGAGTATCAATGAATATTAAGAATAGTTTAATCAAAGAAAATGCAATCCTTTCAACCATTCAAAATATGTAGTAGTTCAAATCAAACTAATATTATCGGAGCGAAACTACATTCTAAGTGACTAACATTAGATTGGTGCGTATTAAATTTAATTATTAATTTGAAATTTAAAAAAAGAAAAAACTCAACGGGAGTTGTATTGAACGAAACAATGGAAGATATAATGATCATTTGCAAAATGCTTGTAGATTTCATGTCCCATGACTTTATGTAATTTTAATTACTGAAACAAAGTTCCGAATAACGTATTTTTAAAATTCAAATTAATTTTCTATGTGTTTTAAATAAATGTAGATACATATAAATTAATATTTTAAATACTAGGAGGCTCCGCCCCCTGCTCGCTAACGCTCGCCAACCCCCGAGAATTGCTACACAATCCTATGTGGTTCACGCCGTGAACCATGGCTCGCTGCTCTCGCTCGCCAATGAACACAATGTTCTAGCACAAAGACATAATATATTATCATCAAAGACATAGTATTTTATCATCAAAGACATAGTATTGTACTTATGTAGAAGAATTCTACCAATGTTCATAATGGCTTTTAAAAAAGTATATTAGCTATTTAGCTATTTGTACATGGTGAAAAAATCAAAACATTAGCTAAATAAGAAACATATTAGCAAAATAAATTATCAAATATTGCTTCACTAATATTCTGCAACGTAAAGCGTGAAAATTCAATGCATAAATAAACGCGAAATATTAAAAAATTCAATGCATTCAATACAAACACTTAAACGTTTTTTAGACGTTTAGGTAGCTCCCAGTAGAAAAATATGAATTCAACAGCGGCCTTTTAAAGCATTCTCACTTCAATTAATTAATTAATTCCTAATTGAGTTTAAATTAAATATTGTCATGTTTTTAGTGCATGAATCTGAATTGAACAACCTGATAATGCTCACTCTGGTTATTGTTATCTGGTTGCTCACTACGTGCTCTTGCGCGCCGAATCCAATCAATTAAAAATGAAAACTGTTGTGACAAAAGACATGTGATTGGCTGTTGCGAACGGCGGTTATTCTTCATTATTAACTGCAAAATCGTGCTTTAAAACTAAAATAAATAAAAATTTAAAATTATGTAAAAGATTTGAATGCCCTAAATGTCTTCCCTGAAAGATTCTGAATGAATTGATTCCTTAATCTTAGATTTTCATCACGTAGTTAAAAAGTTTTTCAGGGGACAAAATTAACTGCAAAAACTTTTTTTTAGAATAGAGAGATAATGGCTATATAATGCCGTTATAATAAATCAGATGCAACTAAATCTCTATGTCCTATT